AAAAAGGCCAAATAAAAATCCATGAAGTCACCCTGCTGTTAAAATAATTTAAAAAAAAAAAAAAAAGCGCAAAAAACACACACACAAAAAAAAAAAAAAGCCAAAAAACACACACAAAAAAAAAAAGATGCAAAAAAAAGAATCCTTGCACCTGAGGTTGCATGGTGTGAAAAGCCCTTTTACGGATTTTCCCACGCTATGCAATTTCAATTACAGTGCTCTGTTTGGTTGGCTAGTAGAGAAAGGCAGAAGTTCCTATATTCCAGAATGGTTTGCCTGAAAATTATATAGACCTGTTAGCTTATTTTCTGTGGCTGGGAAAGTGTTTTAAGAGTTATTAATTGTTGCAAAAAAACAGCATGGTTTTATGAAACATAGATAAAGTCAAACAAACCTAATTGCATTCTACAAAGTATGTTCAAGTATAGGTCAGGGTCTTACAATGCATGTGATCTACTTGTATTTTGCCAAGGCATTCCATACGGCTCTACAAAACAAAGAGTCTACATGGAAATGTTTGTTTAAAAGACCACTATAGTGCCAGGGCTCCTTCGGCACTGGTGACCTCTCCACCCCCTGCCGACGTCAGATCCGAATTCGCATAGGGGAGCAGAGCCTCACGCGCACATTCAAACTGCCCATAGGAAAGCATTATTCAATGTTTTCCTATGTACGTCCAGCGTCTTCTCACTGATTTTCACAGTGAGAATCGCGGAAGTGCCTCCAGCGGCTGTTAGTGAGACAGCCACTTGAGGCTGGATTAACCCTCGGTGAAACATAGTAGTTTCTCTGAAACTGCTATGTTTTCAGCTGCAGGGTTAAAAGTATAGGGACCTGGCACCCACATCACTTCATTGAGCTGGGTGCCTATAGTGATCCTTTAAACAAAAAGAAATTGGTCTACATGGACATTCATGATCAAACTAAAAGAAATTGGTCTAGATGAAAATTCTTGTTCTTGGGTATAACATCTTAATGATAGAGTAAAGAGACATGTCATTAATGGTAAATGTTCAAGTGGGACAAAAGTGGTAAGTCGTTTTTCTCAGTGTTCTGTTCTCGGACCACTTCTATTCAACATATTTATAAATGATCTTGAGATAGACATTGAAAGTCATGTTTCAGTGTTTGCAGATTACACAAACCTAGCTAAGGTAATACAATGTGAGCAGAATAATAATTTGCTGCAAATTGATTTATATAGATTAGGGGACTGGGTACTCAAACAGAAGATTAAATCTAATGTACATAAATGCAGAGTTATGCACTTTGGGGTAAAGAATGCACATTAACCAATACACAAGCAACTTACACCCTAAATTGTAGTGAATTAAGGATAACAACACATGAGAAGGAATTGGGAATTGTTATAGACAACATACTACACAACACTGTGCAATTTCAGTCAGCTGTTGCTAAGGCCAGTAAAGTATGGTCATGCATAAAAGGGGACATTCATTCTAGGAATGGAAATATAAATGTGACTCTTTTACCAGAGTACAAAGAGATGTTCTCTAAAGTCAGACTTTTTAATTGACTTCTGTGAGAAAGTGAGCTTTAAAAAATAAAAATAAAAATAAAAAAATGCTTTAGTTTGGCTAAAGCTAACTGTCCATTAACATGCAGTTGTTATGATGCTTATACTGTTCCTCTAACTACCAAGTTAATTAATATCTTAATTAAATTAGACGTAGGATGTATATCTAGCACATAAATATAGGAAAATACAGTATTGTTAGTATTGCAATCTGGGTAGGAAATAATCTTATCAGCATGTAGAAGAAATATCCATTTACTTATGTTATTTCTCTGTATTAGTGCACATAAAAATATAACTGTAAAAATAACACTGTATGTGTATTTCAAAGCACAATATAACAGCTCCCTCTTTTGTGTTCTCCCACAGAGCACATAACAATAAAACACACAAACACATTGAGGACGGACTTCTCTAAGCACTGATAACACTTTCCTCCACTAAAATATACAAAGACACTGGCAGAGTGGGAAAAAAACAAAATGTCAATTAATCCTGGCAAGCTTGGGTCCTACATGCTTTCCATTCACATTAAGAGATACCAACAATGGAATGATTGTTTTCTAAGGTGGAACACACATATGTAAAGGATGGGGTGGATCTGCCATTGAATTGGACACTTGCATATTGCTAATTCTGCAGGCAATAGAGATATTTTCTGCTAATTATTGTCTTCCCTATCCCTTTATAAATAAGTTATTATGCTTTATAATTCCCTGTATATTTTGTACATGTTCTAGCTATTTACATGTTATTATGTTTGTCATAGCAATCTAAATGTAATGATCATATGGGCTAGTCCCAAGAAATATAAAGTTTTGCATGTTAGTTCCTTTTTGACCTTGTGTCCTGTGTGGATTTGTAAGGATCCCAGTGACAATCTTTGGACCTGTTTGCTGGTTGCATGATCTCTCTAGCCCTGGATAAAGCAAGAGAGCAAGGCCTGAAAGCCTCAAGTGCCTTTGTAAAGGCAATAACTATAATCACTGTAAGCAGAGCTCTAGAGGAATAGGCAGAGAAGACGATACCTGCCTGGATGAAAAAGCTACAGAGGAATAGGCAGAAGGGACAATCCCTGTCTGGAAGGAGGGCTGCAGCAGAATAGGCAGAGGGGGTGATACCTGTCTGGTCAGTCAAGCTTTGGTGACTGGTGCTGAAGCATTCCAGGGTACCTGCAAGCGGCTAGGAAGTGGACTGGGTGGAGGTCAGTCACAGACTTAACACAATATAACCACATGGTGTGACTAAATCCTTATAAAAAGCATCATAAAACATTAAATAGTCTGTTATATTATGGACTTACAAATTGAACATATTTGTTATAAAGATTTATGTTACAAACTCTTTTGGTCCATCCTATATGTTTTGAGCATAATATGCTATAGCTGTGCTTTTATTTGCTGTTTATCTGCTGTTTGGGAGAATTGTTTAGGAGATTTTCTCCCCTTTACCTAGGAGGCAGGGGTTGATTTTTGGAGCTGTGTTTCACCCTTAATCAGCTCAAATTAGTGCAATATTGCATCTTTTTTCTTTGAAGTTACAATTGCAGGATACATAGAATTAGTTATAAGATTTGATAACATTTTTGCTACTATTTAGCAATACACTTCCAATATTGCTACCCTGTCTGCTTTTGCAAGCACTTGTTACTATTTTTGAACTGTGGGGCTGACTATTATCTAGATGAATTGAGATATCTGGTATCTTTATATATTAGAAGATTTCTTCCGGAATTTTCTTACTCCTTTCTACTTATAATTTATACTCTTGATCCTAGATTTATCTCACTAGTATAGTCAGCACCTCCGCCCGGTCTATGTACTATCTACCTAACGGGCGTTAGAAGCTTGCCATAAACTCCAGGGAACCACAACCTGTTTATTGGATGGTTATTCCCACAATAGCAGTTTGACTATATTTCGTGCAGACACTCCGGTTTACCTAAGATTTTCGTGCAATATGTTACATCTAAGGCACTCCATCAGGACGTGCTATTCTGGCTTATAACTTTGCCATATACGTAACCCTTTACTGTATCTGCATTGCTGCCTCCCATTGTGGTACTATAGCCTCATAGACCATGGGACATCCCCCTACCCTGGACCCCTTGTAATATATGTATTATATATGTATTTTTTTTCTATAGTCTCTATACGTCTTTCAATAAAGTATTTTTTATTTTTATCCTACCATTTTCTATTTGTGTAAAACTAGGGATTCTATACTTTCTAATGTGGGCATACCCTTAGTCTGGGATGCTGTGGTAGATGGAACTTCGCTCCTCTCTCCACACACCCTTATCTTTGGGATTCTCTCTATTATTAAAGAAAATGCTCTTGTGCATGTCACTGTGGTGCCTTCACCCTTTGAGAATGAGTAAAATGTGTCACTCTCTTTCCTCACTTTATTATATGGGTTGTGGTGATGTTAGTTTATATTACTATGTTTACAATCTGTTGAAGTTAGAGTGTATATATATTATAGAACAAAAAAAAAAAAATAGGAAAATGGGCTAATTGAAAGATTTACATGTAACAGGATGTACTTTCTGATCTCCACTTGATAAAGCCTAAGGGCGAAATGCATTGTGGTTTTTTTAAACTATGTTGTTTTAAATAAAAGGTATTTTGGCCACTTTCTTACTGTGAGTTAGCCATCTTACTTTTTATTACTATTATCATTTTACTTTACTACCACCATCTTTTTATCCGGCACCAGAAGTGTTTTTACTTTCTAGTGAGGATATTACTCCCAAGAATCCTAGGTGGAGATTATACCACACAAGCTGTATTCATTGAACAGTTAGTCTGTTCAACTAAATGTGAGTAACCACTTGGTTTTTTATCTTCTCACCTCTGGCATTTTATACTTTGAGCACTATTGCTGTTCCCGCTTTTATTTCCACATATGGTTCCCTAATCAAGAAAGAATACTAAGACCTCACGTATCCCATAAGTGTGGATTATACCACTGTACGTTATCAACACTAGAGCTAAGTCCATAGCTCTTGAAAACGTGAGTAGGACCATATACTTTTTTTTTTTTTTATTGCTTCTACCCCCTTCGGGACATACTATACCATCAGTTGTTGTTTTCTCATTTCATATGATGTACAAAGACGCATCTACACCACTCTGAAGAATCCCCCACTACAAAAGACTGTATTCACCTCTACAAAGATATACCTCGTTGTTTGATTCATCTACCAGTCAGACTATTTATTCTTGCCTTCTATTTGCTTATTATATATATTGCATTCTAGTCTGCCTATTCTATGCTCTTTTAATTTATGTGGTTTGTAGTGTCGCTGTCTTCCTTTCTTTTTTCTGTACCTCTTTATTTACAGGCCTACCGTATAGTTGGTCTCGTTACACCACAACCGACTTGCTTCCTTTATACTATCCTACGCTTATGCTGGAACCTTACTCCATATACGGCTATTTGCCCCTCACACACTATATATATGTGTGTGTGTGTGTGTGTGTGTGTAATAAATATATATATATATATATATATATTTATTTATTACACACACACACACACACACACACACACACACGTCCCAAGTCAAAGCACTCGATATTCCCGGTCTATCTCCAACCAAATTATGTACGATACCAGTAGAGAGCACTACTGGTATTGTATATGTATTACAAATAAAAGGTTTAATAAGATATTTTGAGTTGTTTCAGAGAGGGTGGTCACATACAGTATGATTATTTGACTTATGTAATGGACACCTCCGCCGACGGATGCTCCTAGCGCGTCTCAAGGACCATAAGCACCACAGACTCCATGAACCGCCGTAGCTTGGTTGGGATCTCACCGTCTCCTTCCCACCCTGGGACTCCAACCTCTGGATCCAGGAGCGTGTGGAAAGGATCTCTCCCCCAAGAGAGTATAGCTGGGTCTCTCCCTCAAGAGAGTATAGCTGGGTCTCGAGCTGAAGAGAGCTCTTACAAGAGCTAGCAGGGATTCAGGGGAGTATACAGAGTATAGCAATCCCCAGTGTGATATAGCAGTACCCTACAACACGAGACGAGGCTGCGAGTTGAGGGTAAGAAGGTCTAGTTTAATGAGCACAAAGGCATTTCTTTTATACACATTTTCAGGCTGGAGGCACACCTCCTGGACCTGATGGAACACAGGTACAAAAGGGACACAAACCAATGGGAACAATAATTAACACAGCAACACTCCCATCTGCCTGTGATATAATTAAGCTAGCTAATGGAATAACCTAATTATCCACAGGCAGAAAATATCAGTTTGAGGGGCGTGTCTTGGCCACCATCTTAGATGGCCACGTTATAGAGAGGCTCCTGGACAAGGGGGCCAATTTTGTTCCAAAGTGCCAATTTAAATTTTAATGGACCAATTCTAACTGAAGCTATCAATAGCCAACTCAATGTCTAACATGCAGAAGCAAAAAACCCCTGAAAGATCCGTTCCTGGGATGAAGAAAGTGGAAGCAGGAGCTGCTGGGGTGAGTAAGGGTTCCCAGGCTCACTCCCCTGCATCCAAACCCGGCTCGTGGCTTATTTCACCGCTTAAATTATCGTTGGTGGCGTCAGGAAAATCCCTCCCTCCCGCCCGGTCTCCCATCCTAAATCTTATGCCTGTGCGACCGCGACCCGTCCGCGGCTTCCTGAGAGCGGCGGGACCGCGGCCGCACTAGCCGGCACTTCTGTGTGCGGCTCAGAGTGCTCCGAGCACTCAGCATGCTCCGAGTACAGTGCAGTGTCTCCCGCGAGCGGCAAGGACCACCCAGCAAGCCGCTCGCGGTCTTATACTAGAGCAGCCCGGTCGCTCACTTACAAAAGTGACCGGGTTGCAAGTATAGGGGAGGGCAGTGTGAGGTCACGCTCCCCGTCGGGATCCTCAGCCTCCAGGTTGTCGGTCTCCCAAGATGGCCGCTGCCACCTCCAATATGGCTACTACCACATTTAAAGCAGCGACCTACAATCCTAATATGCCACCTGAATTGGCAGAAGACCTGCCACCGTCAGCTGGCATGATAATTCAACTCAAAGATTTGAGAGTTGATTTGAAAAACGACTTTAAAAAAGACTGACGCATTATATGGTGCCATGGAGGGCATTAACCAGCGTACGGAAATAATAGAGAATAGATTGCACTCTCAAGAGCAATCTCACCTGGATCTGGTTGAAACCGTAAAAGAGCTCCAAAAGCAAGTGCACCAACAAGCAGAAAAGCTAGCCGACGCTGAGGATAGAAGTAGGCGTAATAACCTAAGGATCAGGGGGATCCCTGATAATGTCGATTCTCAGGAATTACAAAGCTATTTCCAGACAATGGTGAAGTCAGCTCTACCAAACGTAAAAGATATGGATTTATTACTGGATCGCATCCATAGATTGCCCAAACCCGGCAATGCACCTCCGGCTGCACCCAAAGACGTGATAGTGAGATTCCACTACTACCACATTAAAGAGGAATTTCTTGGTGCAGTACGCACTTCAGATCTCACAGGAGATTACAGCGGCATGAAGGTCTTTCAAGACTTTTCTGCTCAAACAATGAAGCGACGCAGGGAATTTCAACTTTTCACTGCGGAGCTAAGACGAAGAGGGATAAGATATAGATGGGGATTCCCGGTTAAAGTCCTTTTCCGTATGGATGGTGGGAATTTCATAATCACGTTGCCTGAGGAAGGAATGGAACTCATCAATTCTATGAATAGACGTCAGGTTTCGCCTCATAGACTCTCGCCATCTACTCCTGTGCAGGCCAGCAAGAGAAGCAAATTGGACACTTCCTGAGATCCCAGCTCAAAGAGCTACAGTCTTCCTTTTCCACGGTCATCATCAAGTACTGCTCCAGTCTGGCGATTTATCGGGATTACTTAGAATTTTGACTTGTTTCTCCTTTTTATGACAGACTTCTGAGTTTTCCCACCAACGGTTATTTGACCTGTGCCTTTATGGTTTATTTCAGAAATCGATTCTTTTACTTAAAAAAAAAAAAACTTTCTAAACTTATACAATCAAAATTTTATATAATTTCATATTTTATTATTTTTTTATTGTTCTGTGTTTTATGCCCTTTCAAATGTCATACTTAAAATGTTGCTTTTTACTACTTATATTGGCTCCCCCTGTACCCAGTAGCCTTCTCTCCCCCCAACCTGGGCCTAACACCCTGAGATGGAGAAACTTTTTTTGTTCTCCCTCATGGCACTCGTTCACTGTTTTTGTTTCACCCCAAGTTTTTTGTTCCTCTTTTTTATTTTTCTATATTTTTTGTCCATTCATTATTTAAAGTTCAGTAGAATTGTTTCTAGACCACAAAGCACTGCAATGCTTCATACAAAAATGCATACTACGTGGCATCAGCAACTTGTAAAAATCTGTTTACTCACTATTCCTGTACACACAAGTTCACAGCTTGAGTTTTTTCTGACAGTATTGTTGGACTTGCATGTTTCTCTCTTGGAAGGCGGTTGCTTGGACTCTCACAAAATTGAATGTTCTTTTACCCTTTACCAGGTATTACTGTTCCATAAACCATGGTTTTAAAATATATGTCATTTAAATGTGAGAGGCCTGAACACCACCCACAAGAGACGATTATTATTCAAAGAAGCAAAATCCAACAAATCAGATGTGATCTGTGTACAGGAAAACACATTTTAAAGATGATAAAGACCATAAAATTTTGTCAAAGCTTTTCCCTGTCCAATACCATTGCACTTATAAATCCAAGTCTAGAGGTACATAGATTTTCTTTCACAGGAATGTAGCATGTTTGACAAACAAAGTAATAATGAATGATGACGGGAGGTATTTAATATGGATAGGATTCAATACTATTGAATATACCATTGTGAACATGTATTTTCCAAACACCGGTCAGTTGCAGTTTTTTAGGAAATTGATGGACTTCGTGAATGAGAATGTGAGAGGCAGCTTGGTAATGTGTGGTGACACAAATTTTGTTATGGATGGTGAATTGGATAACGCTAGGGAAGAACGTGATCGACAGCTTAGAGGGGACAGTGACAGATTAGCGTATAAATGCTCCAGATACATGATTGAATGTGGCTTATACGACCCTTGGAGACTGATGCATGAGAATGAAAGATTTTACGTATTATTTGGTCTCTAAAAATATGAATTCCCGGCTGGACCGGTTTATGGTCCAGGGTGCTTTAATTCCGCACATCTTGAAATCTGATATCTTAAACATCAACTGGTCCGACCATGCTCCAATCATAATGCATATTGACGAAATTGTTTCATCAGCCCCTAACAGAACCTGGAAATTAGGTGATTATTTGTTAAATGATGTTGTGAACAGGTCACTGACGGAGAAAGCTTTGTGTGATTATTTTTCGGAGAATGGCTCACCCGAGGTGACTTGGAATGCGCATAAGGCTGTGTTAAGAGGTCATTTTATTTCTAGAGCATCTCATCTGAAGAGAATTAATAGCAATAATTTAAGAACATTGGAAAAAGAATTGTACAATTTGAACCAGGCTAATAAACTTGGTCCATTGTCCTCCCTATCAGCAATGATAGGAGAAATTAAGGCTAAAATTAACAAAATTAATTTAGATCGTACATCTCTCATGGTGAGACGTCTCAGGAAAACATTTTACTTAAAAAGCAACAGGGCCTCAACTCTTTTGGCATCCAAACTCCGGCATGTGAATGCCCAATCAAAAATAGCATATTTACTTGATGATCAGGGGCGAAAAGTGTTTCATCCAACTAAAATTAGTGATATGTTTGCAGAGTATTATAGCAATCTTTATAATTTAGAATGTAATTTGGACCTCCCCCAGCCTTCTACAACAATAATTGATAAATTCTTGGACAGAGTGTCATTGCCTTGGCTGTCTCCAGGACATTTAGAAAGCTTAGAATGTGAAATATCAGCAGTAGAGATAGCTGAGGCAATCAAACCTATGCCATCTGGAAAATCCCTGGTCCTGATGGATTCACTATTTTATATTATAAAACTTTTCCAGAAATTTTAAATTCCCCATATGACTAAAATGTTCAATTCCTATAAGTCCGGGGAAAAGATGCCAGAGGAGTCCTTGTGCGCAAGAATAGTCACTTTGCCAAAGAAAAACTCCCGATAGATGCCCTAACTTTAGGCCCATTTCTCTGATTAATAATGATTCAAAGATTTATTCTAAAGTTCTCGCTAATAGATTAACCAAACTAATCCCATTGTTAATTAATAAGGATCAAGTAGGTTTTGTACAGAATAGACAGGCGCCAGAGGGAACTAGAAGATTCATAAATTTGATTCAGCACATGAATATGAACAAAACGCCTTCTTTGCTTCTATCTCTAGACGCAGAGAAGGCGTTTGAGAGGATACAGGTGCCCTTTATCTCCAATTTTGTTTGTCTTAGCGATAGAACCCCTGGCAGAACTGATTAGAACGACCCCACAAATTGTAGGAATTGCTATTAAAGAATCCATTCACAAAATTGGCCTGTTTGCAGACGATATAATCCTAGCTGTCAAAAACCCAAAGGAATCTTTGAGACATCTCAAGGATATTTTAACTCAATTTGGTGAG